CCCGAATTCCGTAGTGCTCTAGTTTTGTAATCAGTATATCATGATTTACAGTGTCGAAGGCCTTACTTAAATCTAAAAATATTCCACAAGAGTATTGTTTATTTTCGACTGCTTTTTGGATTTTATCAGTAATAAGTGTTACTGCTTGTACACTGGAGTATCCCGACCTAAATCCGAATTGGTTTTCAGATATTATATTCATTTTCTCAACATACTTCATCAACCTCCCATACATTAGTTTTTCCAATATTCTATTAAATATAGACAATAAAGAAATTGGTCGATAATTATTAACATAGATTGCAGATCCATTTTTAAATACTGGCACTATCTGAGCAATCTTAAATTTATCTGGGACAACACCAGTGCTAAAGGAACAATTATAAAAAATCTCTAATGGTTCAGATATATTGCAATATAAAATTTTTAGCAGCTTTGTTGGAATACTAAAAGGCCACTTGTTTTTGATATATTGAGTTTGGCAATTTCCAGTTGAATCTCATTTGCAGTGACTGGTGAGAGAAAAAAGCTAGTTGGTATTGAACAATCCATGTATTCAAGGGGTGAAATATCGTTAGAACTAATTGAGTCAACAATTCTTGAACCAATTGAAGAAAAGTATTTGTTAAATATTTCAGCAATTGTTTTAGTATCTGTGATTTCGATATTATTCTCAACTATTTTACTTTGCATTCCCTGAGTGCTCTTTGTTTTTGGATTAACTATGTCCCTAATTCCAGTCCATATTTTTTTTAAATTAGAAGAGTTTTCTTTAAAAAAATTTTGGTAATAATTTTTCTTGCTCAATTTTATAAGTTTGCCAAGTTTATTGCTATATCTTCTGTATTCCAAAATTAGAAATTCATTATTACTTCCTAACTGTTTCCTATATAGTCGATTTTTTTGCTTAATAGACACTTTTATTGCTGAAGAGATCCATGGTTTAAGGCTAAAACTGACATCTTGTCTTGATAATTTCTTAAGTGGTGCATGATTTTCAATCACCTCTGAAATCTTGCAGTAAAAGCTGTTAAAAATATCATTCACATTATTATTTTGTGGTAACGTTACATTCCAATCAATTGAAGAACCTTCATTAATCAAAGAAGCCTCATCAAAATTAGCATAGTCTCTCTTAAAAATATTTGTTTTAGAAATTTTACTTATGTTTTTATGAATTATAAGGAAATTTGGTAAATGGTCAGTTAAATCTGAAAATATATTTCCACTTATAGTATGACAGCCTAATGAATTTATAAAGATATTATCAATTAAAGTTGCACTATGATGAGTTATTCTAGTGGGTTGAATGATTTTAGGATGGAGATTGTATGTAAACATGGTATTAACAAAACTTTCAGTTGGACCATGTGTTTCATAGTTTAGTAGATTAATATTAAGATCTCCCATTAATATTAATAATTTATTCTCATTAGCAATTTTGTCAAGGATAGAGTATAAATAATTAGTAAAATTTTCAAGGTTTGCTTTTGGGTGTCGATATAAAACACCACATGTTATTCCCTGATCATGACCTTCAATATCAATCCACAATGCTTCGAATTCATTTTTTGAAGTGCATAGATCATCTCTTTTCGAGTATTTTAAATTATTGTTCACAAATAATCCAACCCCACCAGCATTTGATAGAGGTTGTGATAAAAAATTATACCCACTAATGTCAGTATTAATTATACACTCTTGTTGCTGTTTTATCTTTGTTTCCGAAATTCCAATCACAGAAAATTGAAACTTTAATTGGGAGAGTAGTAAAGAAAGTTTATCAATATTGGCTGCAAGACTCCTAATATTACAGTGTATGGTTGAAAAAAGATCATGTTTGGATAAAGAGGAAATTTCCCTACAATTGAGAAAATCCTGCTCGGAATAATAATTAAAATTTATCTGACTAGGAACATGTTGATCAATATCAACATCTTGTAAGATTGGAATCTTTGATATTGCTGAGGCAACATCAAAGCAACGCAAATCATTTAGATCTAAGTCACTCATGATTAACATTAAATATACAAGTTCCATCTATTATTAAGCCTTGTACTAATTTACCACACAACAAATAGTAAATAGATTGGCAATATATAAACTTATCTTGAAAGTCTCTGCAGATCTTGAATGTTCTCGATAAGTATAGCTGAGCTGTCTTTATCCTTACGTAAATAGATTTTCCCATAACGTGTCCATATAAATTGAAAACCAATTTCCTTTTTCTTTTCAAGACATGCTTTAAACAGAAGCTTACGTTTCTTAGTTAAGCTCTCCACCATAAAAATCTTCGATTCTACATGTCTAGTGTAGCCAAGATCTTTCAAACTGACATTTCTCAACTTAGATCTTGAAGTGTACAGCTTATCCCTAATATCTCGTCGTGTAAATTTAATAATAATAGCTGGTACTGGAATTGTACTGAAAGAACGACCAGAACGGGTACTGCCAGCAGCTGGGGTCCCCAAGCGATGACTAATAGACATATCAGTTTCGGTAAGATCAATCCCAAGTTTAGATGCCAATTTTATGACAATTTCATTAGTATTCTCGTCAGGAACCAAAGGAATCCCTCTTATTTCGACACATTCTCGTCTTCCATACTGCTCAAGTTCATCTTGAGCAATTTTCAATGGATCATTTTCACCCTTTGTGTTGGCAAGATCACGTTTTAAAATAGAGTTCTCATCTTTTAGCTTTTTCATTCCTGCTTCCATATTTATAGCTTTATCATTTAGCTCATCATATTTTGCACTTAGAAACGATAACGAACACATAGCTTCATCAACTTTAGTATTTAAATCGTCGAATTTCGAGAATAAAGGCTTCAATTTTCGATCAAAGATAGCCTCCAAATTTTTTATTTCTGTTGCCATATTGACGAATATGCTTATAAGGACATAAAAATATATAAATAGTAAAAGAACAGTAATCATTGACACCAGATTGATATGGATTGAGTAAGCATTTTACGGAGCGATAAAACAACCTCCATCTTGCTTGGTGACCAGACCAGACCATGGGACAAGCAAGTCGTTGAATTCACTCTAAAAAACAAAGACGCTTATCCTGATTTTACCGTGTTTGCCTCCATGATCGAGAAACAGTCCATACTCAAGAATCACCCAAACGTGACAGCTTTCGAGAAACGAGGAAAGGGAGATCGGAGAAAGCCTTTTATACCACCACTTATCCCACCAGAGGACCCCCTGCATACGGTCTTGGCGGGAGAAACTAAAACAGAAGATGAAGAAGTTAAAGAAAAACACTGCCCGTTCCACAAATGCATCGGACATACGTTGTCAGAGTGTAAATCTTTCGCTCAAAAAACCCTGGAGGAGAAAACGCAATGGATCAAAGAGGAAAAGTTATGTTTCCGATGCTTGGTTGCAGGACACATAGCCAATCAATGTAAATCGAAAGTGAAATGCGGGAAGTGTAGCAGTGAACGTCACCAGTAGATGAAACCCCCCATCCAGCGGCGGAAGTGACGTCAGCATTATACGTCAGCATTTTTTAGGGATAAGAGTGACGTCATTTTTGGAACATTGTCGCGTAACATTTGTCGCGTGATCTTTTGAGATGACGTCAGCAACTATTTGTCGCATAACGTTTATTGTAAAAAATATGATTTTTCAGATGGCGTCAGCAACTATTTGTCGCGAAAGATTTGTCGCATAACGTTTATTGTAAAAAAAAAAAAAATGATCCTTGTATTAAGCGCTACAATACCAGTTCGAACCGGATTTAATATACTGTATAAATTGAGGTCTTCGAATTTACAAGAGCGTAGTGTTTACACAGCTTTCGCAGAGAGAACTTTGAAAGATTTGCTTTGATATATTGTTCACACAGAAAACTTTACTGACGTTTCGCGAGTGGTTTTTTCTAATATAAAGACTTGCTGCTTTCAACTTTTAAAGGTATGGTGTTTAACAAACTATATAGGTAAACTTTTTGTGTGTGAACTTAGGCAAAGCATTTTTGTTTTATAGTTTTTACCGATAGAACTTTGCTGGATATTTGACGTTTCGCAATTTTTGTTTATAGTTATTCACAGATACGAATGACATCAAAATTCACTTTTTGCATGGCAGTACAATTCAAGGTAATCCCTCGTATCTTCGTCTCGACCTTGTTGGTACTAGTCTTGTAACAGTAATTCTTCGGACCGCCCGAGATGAAGGTAGTAATATGTCCTTCTTTTAATTCGTCGGTCAACTGGCCCAGGTAAGGACCTAGCGATGGTTCTGGTTCGCCGGGTTTGCTAACAAATATCACAGAGTCCGTGTCGTAATATAACACTCGCTCCTGAAGTTGATCCAACACCCCATAGAGTTTGAGACGGGCATAAGCGGTGGTAAAAGCGGCGATGACTACGTTCGTTTTGGCGTTGGGTTCGACGAAGTTCTCGTTGTACTCGTAACGAAGCTCGACCATTTCGTCGCTTACGAATCTCACGTCGAGAACATGATTTCATCCGACGATAGATAGTCGAAATACACTTGGGGATCTTTAATCAATTCTACTTTGGCCATATTGGACCGTTGCGCGAATTTTCCTAAGGGAAAAAATCTAATATAAGTACCTGTAAAAGATAAGTTTACCTCGCCGTCCTTGCGAGAACATTACCGTTTAAAAAATACATACCCCAAAACGAATTCAACATCAGTTTGGACAGTGCACGCATCCCAGGATTGTGTTCGATCTTTTCTCGGTCTAGTTGTATACCCTCGACTGCCAAGTATTCGTCGACGTACTGCTGTTTCTGTTCCTCGGTGACACAATTCTTGGGATAACCACTGGATTCTTGCTTGATCTTGAGGAAAGTGTCCACATAATCCTTGAACAGCACGTCGGAGGTTTCGGGAAAATGCCACACTTCGTGCATTTGGAGGATATTGTAACCTTTCTCCAGGGCTTTCTCTAATTCCACGCTGCACCAGGTTCCCTGGATAGCTCTTTCACGCTCGGAATGAGTACAAGGGGCTTGGTTACACGTATCAGCACAGGCTTTGCACAGAGGAAACATCAGCTTGCCTTGGGTCCGATAGGGAAGGACTGGATGGAAAAGTCCACGAGGTGGTAATACCGTGCACTTGATCAAGCCAAAGTACGTGGTAATATCATCAAAGTTTTCAGTGATGATACGGGGCCGACCAATGACCGTTTTGGTCATCTTGTTACACCAGGGATAGAGACTGGTGAAGTCGACGTACCTGTAAGAAAAACGGACATTAGACTCCCGTTCCTAGATCTATTGGGGTGCACTAACAACATACCTTATCTTCTCATCCTCTTTGCATTCGTGGAAGAGTTTCGTTGCGTTGGTTCGACCACCATAGAAAGCATGTCGTGGTTCCAAAGGATCCACCACATCGTAATCCTCGAAGTACTGTCTCATGTCTTCATCGTGTTCCAATTCTTTCTTCATGTCGCACTCCCACATTTCGACAACATGGAGGCCACGATCTTTAAGGTACTGGGTCTTTTCCATGGTGGCTTGATGGAGATCATGCATGGTCTTTTCGCTGACCTTGTTGACGGTGTCCCGTGCGTAACATTTCAAACACCCTGTAAAAAATATTTCGTTAAAGTACTGTACCTATGTAAAAAACTGACCCTCTAAAAAACTTACCGTGCCAGAAACAGCCATGGAATTCATATGCTGTATGTGTTTCCTCATCATAGCCATCCAAGGAATATTGACCAACAGTCTTCTCTCCACCATTCCGTTTATGTCGAATGTACACGTCATTCTTCTCGGCTGTGTAAGATAACCATTTCAAGGCGATGTTGGATTGCTTGATTCCTGGATGATAGCCGTGTGGAGGCAAAATGGCAATGGTGTTTTCTTTAAGGAAATTCGTCCGAAACACGAGATTGCACGCTGACGCAATGGTTAGGCATTTCTCGAACGGGTCAATGTCGGTGACGTCACGGAACAACTCGCGAAATTCAAGGCAACAACGTCGAAGGATATCCACATCGGATCGACAGTAACTCAGAATTTCTTCTTGGAAATTGAACACATAATTGTTCTCCTTCAATTCCTGATGCCATTTCAAAAACGTCTCTTTCTCTGCTGGATTCATTCCATTGGGATGGTAATAAGGACTCGGTGGTAGGGGTCCAACATAATTCTGGTTTTCCTTCCTGTTGAAGAGGTGAGGGAAATATCCTTTTGCCAGCTCGTTCAAACCAAAGGTTTTGGGAAAATCAGCCAGTCTCATTGGTATGAAACTCAAGGAATCGATGAATTTAATCTTGAGCATAGGTACATACAATGTAAGGATCTTGGCACCACGCATGATGACTTCAGGAATAACACCGTTCTCGTGTAGGTATTGTTGGATGAAATAACCATCATAGCCCTGAAAATTATGGGCCACCACAATACATCCTTCATGTTCTTTCGTGAACAGCCATTCGCAGAACTCGTTCCTGGTATTATCTCCTTGAAACAACCATTCGTCACCAGCCTCGTTTTGAATTACGCACAAGTTCGGTTCGTGAGTACCATTCTCTTGGATGCACTCGAAATCGAAGAACAGTAGTTCGTTGTATCCGCTTTCGTGGACGTCCTCATCCGCTTCGTCATCACATAAACCAGTCTCACGTGGAGGTTTTTCCTTGACAGGTTGCATGTAACATTGGTGGTCTTCGATGCCCACATATTTTTCACAGGTTGAACAACGTTTCAGTCCGCAGTGATGCAAATCAGGCCTCAGTTGAGTCCGTTCGAAAACACAATTACAATGAGGACACTTGGCAGTAGACAAACAGATCGATTTTGCATTTCCTACGTTTTGTTTGTGCCAATCGAAACATTCTTGACTTTTAAAAATATGATTACAATCACTACATGAAATCCACGAAACAATCGGACAATTTTGAAAATGGCACAATTTACACATATCTCCGCATAAATGATCCCTTTGATGGTCATATCCCTTTTTACAGGTATGGCAATACATTTTACGAGCAATAAAAGCCGGCATGCTTGTGATCACGTCGAAATGATTGTCATGCAGAAACAAATAGATCCTTTTTTCTTTATCAAGTCCAGAAAAAATGACAGAATTTTGATGCTCTTTCGAAACAATGTTGATTTGATAATCGGTCAAATACGCTTGAAATTGTTTGACGTGGTCCATACCGCAAGAACCTATCGGAACACCTGCTTCCTGGTGCAAATCATGAGCTAAACGTGTTTGCAGTGAACAACGAAAATCACTTATAGTTTTATACCGGCTATCGTTTTCAATTTTGGCAATCGAAACAACTAAAGCTTGAGCTAAACATAAATCATCCTTGTTCTGAATACGAACAATTGCCCTTTTATTGATCAAATGCTTTTCCAAATTTATTTCACTGCGTTTTGTTCCGGTACCGCCATTGGGCATTTCAACATGGACCAGATTCACTTTGACACTGTCGTTTAGACGAAATTCATGGTTGGATTGAATGACACGCTCAATTTGAGCTAAAACCCGCTCTGTTGTCAAATGAGAAAGAGCCATGAAAGGAAGAGAAATAGGTTTTTCAAGCTGAGGTGAATGCAACACAAAACGTACTTTATCATGTTCAGGAACATCTCTTGTAATGCTATCCAATAAACTTTTAAATATTCTATGCAGACGGTCGTGGAACTGAGAAAGCTCCAGATGAGCAAACGTGTCCGTGAATTGTACCGTATAATCCGTACCCGTGGTTCCAAACTTTTTCACTTTAATTAACTTGTTTGACATTTGTCACAGTAAAGTTGTTTTCAGTCGTGCTCGACTCAGCGCCATCGTCCTCGAACGATCTTCTCTTGCCACGGCCCATTTGAAGCAATAGTTCATCATCGTTCCAGTCAAGCAGAAAACTTTCCCTCTCTTCAGGTGACCAGTGTTGTGTGAAATCTTCGGTCGCCATCATCTGTTGTATAGATTCGTCGTTGTTCCAATCAGACATAAAAAATTCTGCCGTTGTTCAGGCGTCCAGGAATCAGAAAGGTTCGCCGTTAATCCTTGTTGCTCGTTTTCAATTCCCCATTCCAGTAAACGACTGATTATCTTGACTTTCTCCGCGTACACAAGTCTCTGTTCAGCCTCGCTCAAATCATACATGTTTTCCAAAGCATTAAGTTCAGCTTTCGTTTGACAAACTGATATTTTCGTATCCATATCTAACAATACATTTAACCGTTTTCTAAAAATTCAACTAATAAATTCGAGTTGCTATGGTTAAAAATATACACTTACCGAAGCTTGTCTCGGCACTCTAAAAGTTCCCTCCACAAAAATATACTCTGTAATAGTTCTCCCAACAAAAGTTTTCGTTTATACTGCTAAGAACATTATGACAAAACAATAGACAACATTTCAACATTTATATTCCAAAAGATTATGCGACAAATGTTATGCGACGCCATCTCAAAATTCCAAAAGATCACGAGACAAATGTTATGCGACAAATGTTTTGCGACAAACGTTCCAAAAATGACGTCACACTTATCCTAAAAAACGCGGACGTAATATGCCGGAAAAATGCTGACGTCATATAGCTGGGGAAATCACAAGCTCATTAGTATTCTGCTGGATGTGGGGTATTAAACTACTAATCTCGCCCTTCCTAATCACTTTTTCCTTTGATCTCCGTATAAGTTATGTACTTGCGCAAATGATCACTTATATATCGAAGACCAGGCTTGTTACAGGGAGGACAGTCTCTTTTGTGCTTATAGGGCATGCTGAAACTTTGAAAGTTCAATAATAAATGACCGAGAATAAATGGTTTGAAAACATTTATATTTTTACGGCGACATATGGGTGTGATGTAGGGTCGATGTAGGATCGATGTAGGGTCGATGTAGGGTCGATCTAGGGTCGATGTGGGGTCGATGTGAGTTCGAGGTAGGGTCGATGTAGGGTCAATGTAGGTTCGATGTAGGGCTAGGAGTATAGGAGCTAGGAGCCACCGAAGTCCTAGTGATAGGAAACAAATTGGAATTGTTGGAGAACGAATGTTTGATAAGAATAGAGTCCACTTTATGAACGCCAATTACAAAGAGACTGAAAAACCGTTTGGATAGTTGTTGGTGGATAACAAGCATGATACGCCAGCACATAAGCAAGTTCTTGGGGACCTGTTTGTCGACTGCCGTGTTTATCTCTTCGCCACCCAAACTAAAGTGAACAGTACTAGTGTCGAGCCCACAGCGGTCGAAACCAAGCCTAGAAGGAAACAACCTAAACATCAAAGGCATATTACCTGGTCGGATGCAACTATGCCCGAGTGGCAAAACTACACCAAGGAAGCACACGTTGTCCGTAACATTCTCGAAGGATATGTTATCACAGAGATGTATAAGTCATCGCGCAATAGTTTTGATCCTAGCCATCCGGGTGTCTACATCGGCGGAGGAAATTATTTGCCTGTCAATATAATGAACCAATCGGGTCGTATGAAGGGGGTGAATCTGCACGAAGACGAGCCAATGGTCCGAACCTTTGTTTAAGAAACCATGGCGAATGAACAATTAAGCCAAACGACTCTTATTACAAAAAAAACATTTAAATTGTTGTGCGTAATTTAAATAAAATCAAACACATTATGCTCTAAGAAAAGACCACATTAACTTTGTAAACGTCTCGAAGAAATAAATGTATTTTAAGACTGAATTTTTGTGTAAACTTTTGGCTGCAAAGCACTCCTGTCTTGTCTAAATTGCTTTCTCTCTTCCAATATAAGCCTCCTTATTGTTGTGTTTCCAACCCGCACGGATAACCCGAGACGCCCGCGCAATGAATACCCTAATCTACCCGTATTTATCCACACAGGAGAAAATGCAAATCTCTGGTAAAAGTTAGTCTTTTAATTAGTTTCACCCTAACAACACATAGCAACAACCGGTGTGCTTTAATATAGCTTAAATTTATTAACCTTATCCGAGTTTTAGTACTTTAAAAACCTAGCACTAAAATATAGAAATCGCTTCACAATTATATATCATGACCTCTAACTTCCATGTGTTTATATAACTCTAGACAGCAACATATTCTCTCATATATAGACCCCATATGGCAGACCGGGATTTAAATATTAGTTTAATTGTAGATACATAACTCTTACCGCATGCTATATCTCAGCGTTTTGACGCTTGATAATATTTATATATTATTTAACAACAAAACATATAGCTGTATACCCCGAATATATAAGTTTTAGATATATAACACTCATGCTATTTCATATAGTATCAGATTTTTTATTCCTTTAGGAGTTAATTATAGAAATCACTTGACAATAACAGCAAAATGGTAGAGCAGTGCTTAGAAAACTCCAGACAACAACATATTCTCTTGTATATAGCCCTAACCAGGATTTTAGCAGGAACGCATAGTAAGCCAATATTAATCCCGCTATTGTATGACACACGTGAAGGGACGCTAAAAATGCGTAGTCAGCAAGTATTGTGCGACCTTGTTTAAGCTTGCCCGCGTGAGGTCATTGCATAAAATTATGACGTATTGCATACTAATTATAAATGAGATGGTGGACATCCACCACCTCAAACTCCATCACCTCACACCACCTCCTCACTCCTCCACCTCACTCCTCCTCCTCACTCATCCTCCTCGGTCCTCCGCCCCTCCTCCGCCCTTCCTGCGCCCTTCCTCCGCCCCTCCTCCGCCCCTCCTCCGCCCTTCGTCCGCCCCCAAAAATAAGGCTCGAACGGCCTCTATATTACTACTAACTTGTAAAAACCCAATATTTTGAAAAATTGAAAATAAATATATTTCTACTGGCCGTATCAAACGAAATTTTCCACACGAAAGCGCCTGAATACGAGTATTTCAGTCACACTGACTTGTGGGGAATTCCGAGGAGTTCAAGAGGTATTCAAAATTTTCTCGATGGATATGAAATACAGAATATTTGGCCAAGCGGTGAGTAAAATCCACGATTGTTTTGGTTTGTGTAATGTCATGAGGGCACTTGACCCCCGTTCGAAAGGTTATTTTATTAGGATTTCAAAGGTGGTTTCCGTTTTAAAGGGGGGTAAGTACTCGTTGAGATATTTACATCGGAAGCAAATGAATGAAAAATATGAAATTTATCGCCAAACGATAAAGAGTACAGAGATTTATTCATAGCATGTGTTTTAATAATTTTATTAACTAACAGTTCTTAACGTCAGATATTCTTGGAACATGGTATAATAACATTTTAGACACAATTCAAAATTAACTGTAATATATTATGATGTGCTGTCCAATAATCTATTGTAATTCTAATTTACTATATTGTAAGAATATCGCAATTCGCTTTTTGCCGCCATAATATTTTATTGAATAATGATTAAATGAATGAATGATATCAAAACAAACTCGCGGTCAGGGCATTTTTTAACTATATAACTACTGGGGCATTTACCCCTGTAGGCCCTTTGCTTGCCCCAGTAGTGAAGCATGGTTTTCAGATGAACTGGCCCAGATGAACTGGGCTGCTTTCTCATATCCTCTCACATTCTCGACATTAACTTTCTCTTCAAGTCAAGTCGGCAAATTATTTAATACCAGTTGGATATGGCCGGCATGTCTTGCTCGTTAATGTCATCCGTCTGATTCTGTACCAGCTTGAGTCGATTGCGGTGCACACACAAGCTCCTTCCTTTTCCCGATTTTGGACGAATCACATAGTTTAAACGTCCTTGACAACGGAGTATGACGTACGGACCAATCCACGGTTTGTGGAACTTTCTACTGCGTCCTTTCGGTATGACAGGGCTATGTAACCATACAATGTCTCCGGGTCTCAGAATTTCTGTCTGATGAGCAGTGTTACGTGCATCATAATTTTGCTTTTGCTGTGTCTGTGCTTTCTTGATTTCCTCAGAAACCGTCGCGTGGACCTTTTTTAGGGTAAACTCAAGTTCACCACAGTAGTCGGCAATCAACCGCTCAGGTGCGTTAATGACTGGGTCAGTTTCACAGTGTGCATTAATTCATGAAAAATAAAAGAAAAATTATTTACAACGATTTTAAGATAAATTGATAGGGTTTTGGGCGTTAATGCTACTCAACATAATTTTAGAATTTTTTTAACGGACCCAAAATTTTTAAAAACATGTCACGTGACCAGTTGTTGGTCTAAAAATAGCAACAAAAAAATGGAACTTTTTCAACCGCTTTGCAGGGAATGATTGAGCAGGTTCTCACTGAAACATTCAATTACAAATAGATTGCCAAGGAACTCTTCTAACATATTCAAACTTGTATCCGTGAAAATGTTGTGTTATTGTTGCGTAAAATAGATCCAAAGTCAAAACAAGCGTTTCTACTCGCATATTTTCGATCATTAAAGCTACTTCTAGTCAAAATGTTTTCGGTTTACGACATTTCTCAAGAAGTTGGACATATTTTGTAGTTAATTAGCGCATAAGCCTTTAATAGTTGATAATAAAAACCTTTCCTGCAAGGCCATTGAAGTTTAACATTCGGCCGAGTAAATAAATCGTAAAAACCGCCATTTTTGTCGAGTGAGCCCTGATTCTACACACAGCGGTCTCCCGCATAGCCATGGCAACAAAGAACGCTCAAAATGGCGATTATAATAACTCGAAGAGCATAAAGACATGTTTGCAGACATATTTTGCTTTGCGCAAGGTTAAAACCGGCAATTGTAATACAGAAAAATATACACATATCATTGTTTTTAATATACAAGTGAATGTCGAACGCACAAACCATTTGTGACCAAATTATCCGACACAACTTCGCATTTTAATATATACCACAACATGCTTTATAATAATACAAATCTAAAAGGCTACTAAGCATAAATTTCGCAGACAATATTGCACAGGATAAATCTTGAGTGCTATGATGAAACAAGAGCCTTATTTATCAGTAATTTAAGATTATAATCTGTCAAAATTAGACGCGTCTCACGCACGCAATGACGATTTAGGCGCCAGATTCAAAATTTGCTTCGATAGACTCACGTCTCGAAGTCCGCACAAAGCTATAAAAATACATCAAAATTCTACTTTATCGCCATGGTTGTCAGTTTTATTCACCCACATACGTGTGGATTTGCCAAGGCAGCAATTTGGCGATTTACGAAAGATGCTGTAGTTAACATAAAGCGCGTTGACACTGAAACACCATATCAGCATCGCGTGCGTACTGTACAGGCTATTCACGAACTCTTCTGCCAAATGTTTGGTACGAAGTTTGCAGTGGACTACAAAACCTTTGAGAGAAAGCTGCCAGACTTGCGTACGAAGTTCAGCGGTTGGAATCCCCGTAAATACAAAGAACGAGACCAATACCTGAAAGCTTTCTCTGCCGATAGCTGGAAAGAATTATCCACTACGCGCAAAGATGAACACAGCTTGATGGATTGCCCCAGCTGTTGTCACAGGTACTCCGTGTATCAGGCTTTATTCCCGGTTAATTCAAGGCAATTTCAAGGCTTTCTTTAAAAAAAATCCTGTGGTTGTGGCTCAAAATATAGCAGCTAATGTAAATAAACAGCCTGTACAGATCAAGTGCACACGACGAGAATACCAGACTGGCGCACAAAAACGGTGTATGATGAAATTAACCCAGTATTCCAACAAGTGTTTAATGTATCCCTTGAAGGCCCTGACCACTCTTCCCACCTTGAATATCCAAGCGAAGAAGAGTTGCGCTGAGAAAAAGAAAGAAAGAAGAAATTATTTACGAAAGACAAAAGCTTGTTTAGAGGAACACTGGAAGAATACATCGGTTATGAGGTAAATACTAGTCAGTATGTCTGTGGTACAGTATATTAAATGGCTTCTAAGTTCTAAAGAAATCAAATTTATTGTAAAATATTACATATCAGTTTTGTATCTTGCTTGTTTGGGTTATAGAGACCTCTAGCATATATGCTACTCGCACTAGTTGTAATCAAAGACTAATTTATTGATAGAATTAAGTAAATATATATACAAGCATTGACAGCCAATTAGGATATATGATATGGGTGTGTGTGTGAAAGGTTAAGCCTGGAATGAATTAAGTACAGGATACAACATTCCTCCCCTGTTTAGTAACTTGCTAGGTTGAACTATATATATTTGATTCCTATTGCTGATTGTTCGTA